CTTCTTTACGTATGTATACAAACGGAACAAGATCATGACAAAGGAGGTACCTCTGGCGAAAAAAACATAAGACCTGTTCAATTCATACTGGCAGAAAAGCTTTCGCCCTATCACTAAGAAGCATAGAGGCCTGGCTTATGCAATTGCCGATCGACCTAATTTTTACTGTCTCTTTTACAACCCTTTTAGCGTCATTGATCTCTTTGCATACTACCATTGTACCGGACCACTCGGCTGAGCAGTTTCTGAATTCTCGTACATGTGTCGCAATTTCGGAATTAGTCGATTTTATCTTTACGTTTCTTTTGTGCTCTGTCAGATGATCGTTCAAACATCTTGAGGTCTACCTTATATACTTAAAACCGCACGTCATCGGTATGTCGTAAACAGCGCCAGTTTCACAAGGCACAGACTTTTCCCTGTGGCCCTTTTGGCACCCTCTTTGCTCTCTTTGGAACGAAGTGAGGTTGCCCAACTTAAAGTCCAAACTGAAAACTACATTAACGCCAAATTTTTTTGCACACGCTTTTATGTTGTGTGACACGGTGTGAAAATACGACATCATTGCGATTCTGTGTCTCAATTTTTCCACCGCGTTTTCCTTTTCCCGGTTCATTAATGTCATTTGCCTCCCGATGAAATCTCCCTCGTAGCCTGCGTTCATCAATCGTTGCCACTGCCCCCTCACTGCCTTAGCCACGAAATGAACACGTGACCTGTTCAAAGCATTGGGGAACAGCGATCTAACGACACTCGCCTTTACCGTCTTCGAGTGGCAGCTCTTCTTCGGGAGTACTGGTTTCGGGGCATCTTTTCCATACTCCCAGCATAGGGTTTCACCCACATGAAGTTTTAGATCCAAAAACTGTAACCTATTATTCGTTGGTTTTTCCACTGTGAACTTCAGTTCAGGAGCTGATGACACTATTAGTGACTTTAGCTTCTCCGCAGTTCCACTCTGAAAGGTGCATACCACAATGTCGTCGACATATCTCCTGACTATACAGCTGCCCGACGGCATTTTTCCTAGTCCTTCTACCACTGTAGAATCAAGTGAGTTTAAATATATCTCCGCCAAAGCTGGTGCTACCGATGAGCCTATGCACACTCCATTTTTCTGCACAATTTTTTTCCCATCGTATTCTACCACCGTTGAACGAAGATACAAATCCAACACCGTCAGGAAACAGTCTACCGAAATGCCCGAACCTGACTGAAATTTTACAAGATTACGCTCCAGGGCCTCTTTTACACGCTTCAACAGTCTGCTCTTCTTCAAAGAATAATAAAGGTCTTTTATGTCCATAAAAAATATCTAACACTTCCTGCCATGATGGACCTCCAGGATATCAATTAATTCGTTTGAGTTTCTCAGTGAGAGCGAATCTTCAAGCCTTACATACTCTAATCCTTGTTGCAGGAATTTAGACACCACCTTCTGCCAAGTCCCGTTCTCATTTATCACTGCGCGGAAAGGAAGCTCAGGTTTATGGTCTTTTAGAAAAAAACTTCAGGCTCAATGTTGAGTGTCTTGAGCTCAATATCCCTTTCGCCATCCCTTCAAATTCCTCTTCCCGAACAACCCCACAAATCTCTTTTCTCAACTTTCCAATATTCCCGGTCCATCCCGGTCCATTCCGCAAACAGGGAATCCAACGCCTCCTTTGCCTTCTTCCGGAAAACCGGCTTGGGTAAGACTGCAAACTTCCCAGTTTTGTCCGTCTGCAACATCTCTAGCGATTTACAATCTAACTCGTTTTTTGCCGCTTTTACCTCACTGATGTTCCTTCTTTCCGTCGGGTAATCTCTGCCCATCACATTTTCTATTCGGCCAATTGCTTGATCAACAAAAGCTGCCTTCTGATCCTGAGTGACAACTTTCGCGACTGTCTGTATCGACGAGAACACGTCCAGTCTCGACGGTTTTACATTTAAACAAAACTTCGGCCCTCTACTTAAAAATTCCTCAGTCTTCCGGGATACCGCTTCTCTACATGGGTTTACAAGGGACGCATGGGGCACATCAAGATAGCTGTTTTCATGGGAAACTCCCTGACACATCTGTCTAACAAGATTTCTATCCACTAGTCTTCCATCCATTCTCCCGCACGCGCTTAATCTCTTAACACTGTCCAAAACGGTAACCGGACAAAAGCTCACCGGACAGAAGCTCACCGGACAAAAGCTCACCCGTTTTTTGACAGACCCGGACAAAAGCTCACCCGTTTTTTGATAGACCCGGACAAAAGCTCACCTCGATTTCTTTCTTTTTTACTATCCGGGCGAAACACGGGCTGAAATAAAGTGCGGACGCAATGGACATTGGACCATTTTTAAGAGAACTTGTACCTCATCCACCATTGAGTTGAGAATTTTTTAAAAATACTTTGAAAGAACGGGAGTTCGGCCTTTCGGAAAAGTACAGACAGATGACCAATTTAAAAAATTGTGCGGGATTTTAGATAGGCTCGGGTTCCTTCTACCACAGCTTGTTCCACAAGAACTGAATACCAGGGAAAAGTCTACCGGTGACATCGCTACCTACTGGACTATTTTGATTGCACGTATTTCAACGGCCGCTTTCTTTATGCTTCTGTTCCATCTGCGGCGGCACCCAGAGCGAATTCTTCCCTTCGCCTGATTCTGCGCCGACGGCGACCGGAGTCTCCCCCGGTACAGTGGAATATGTACGACACCACTCTTCAAGATAAAGACCGGATGAGCAACACCTGCGAAAGATAGAGTACCGGGTTCCAGAAGCCCGTCGGCCACGCCCATGCAAGCGTCTTGAGGCTGATTGAATGCCTACAGCAAAATCAGGCGCTCGTTGCCACGGCATTGACAAAAGCCCGGAAAGGTGAGCCCACCGTAAAGCGGGTGCGAAAAATTACTCTGCACCTGCAGCACCGTCTTAGAAATATGTGCGAGGGCTTGCATGTACATCGAGATCTACCAAGACTGCTGGAGCTAGTGGGGCACTGCATTCGCTTCTAACCAATCGATAAATAAACTTGTTTCTACTAAAATCAACAAACCATGCGTTTGTCAGCTTTAATTTATCGTTGCCTTTTTGTGTCGCACGCATGCACCTAAGTTGTCCGCACTCGTGTTAGGACCAACATGAAATTTTCTCGTGGTGAGCTTTTGTCCGGGTCTGTGAAAATATGGGTGAGCTTTTGTCCGGGTCTGTGAAAAAATGGGTGAGCTTTTGTCGGGTGAGCTTTTGTCCGGTGAGCTTCTGTCCGGTGAGCTTTTGTCCGGTGAGCTTTTGTCCGGGATTCGTCCAAAACATGCTTTCGCTTTACGCACCAAGTCCGGTTGAAGTGGGCCCTTTTGATGTCGTTCCAGTTCTGGAAGTCCCGATGTTGCCTGAAGTCCTTTCCCAGCAGCAAAAACCACAGTCTATCGCTTGCGTTGCGGACATCCTGGATTCTCTGACTTGCACCGTCCCTGTAGGTCTTCAATATCTTCTTCTTGATTAACCAAGAACTCGCCGATGGTGACAAATGCTTGAAAAGTTCCGGGTCAACGTACCTCTTCCGTAAGCATATGCCGAAAAACGCTACTTCAGCCTCCAGTTCCGCAAGGCGACGTCCCAGCTTGTCCAGGACCGTGACAGCTTTCAGTAGTAGAGCGGTTGGTGGCGATGAAGGAATCGAAGATGCACAAGAAAAGGGGACTAAGCCGGCCTCAGGTACGATTAATGAAAAAACAGTTAGGGCGCAGGCGAGCTGGTGTAAGTTTACCATATTTTAGACCACCTGAGACTGGGTGGAAGAAACACGACGACGTCTCAAACACAGCGAACCACTTTATTCAGTTCTCCCTCCCTTTATACATCCTGATCCCAAAATCGTCCCCATCAAAAACACTTCAAACAAAGGCACCAAGGGGACACGTCTTGACTTCGCAGCCACAACAGTGTTAAAAAAAAAAGAAAGAATCAGTTTGAACTAACAAAAGCTACACGCAATCAAAACGTCGGCCGAAGGTAACATTCTTTGACCTCGCAGCCACTCTTATCTTTACAAAAAACAAAGAAACGAACCACACGGAACCGACTGCAGTTCAAACCCATCAACCTGTTACACATTTTTTTTTCTTTTTTACGTATGTATACAAACGGAACAAGATCATGACAAAGGAGGTACCTCTGGCGAAAAAAACACAAGACCTGTTCAATTCATACTCGCAGAAAAGCTTTCGCCCTATCACTAAGAAGCTTAGAGGCCTGGCTTATGCAATTGCCGATCGACCTAATTTTTACTGTCGCTTTTACAACCCTTTTAACGTCATTGATCTCTTTGCATATTACAGTTGTACCGGACCACTCGGCTGAGCAGTTTCTGCATTCTTGAACATGTGTCTCAATTTCGGAATTAGTCGATTTTATCTTTACGTTTTTTTTTGTGCTCTGTCAGACGATCGTTCAAACATCTTGAGGTCTGCCCTATATACTTAAAACCGCACGTCATCGGTATGTCGTAAACAACGCCAGTTTCACAAGGCACAGACTTTCCCTGTGGCCCTTTTGGCACCCTTTTTGCTCTCTTTGGAACGGGGTGAGGTTGCCCAACTTAAAGTCCAAACTGAAAACTGCATTAACGCCAAATTTTTTTGCACACGCTTTTATATTATTTGATGCGCTGAATTGAGATGCAAAAGCGAGCTCGCTGGAACTTTCGAAGGACCAAAAAGTAGTTTTGACCAAGATTTATTTACATAATAATAAGCTGTAAAGTTTTACTTTCGGTTCCTATACCAAAATCAAAATCTACCGTGCAGATGCTTGGGCTAATATATTATTTCCGCCTTTAAATCTGGTAATACTTACTGCCTTGGTTCACAAAATAATTGTATTTATGAAATATATATACACAATTTGCTTCGTTTTAAATTAATATAATATTTTGTAATTCACAAACCTCTAATTGTTTGATAGAAATTCGGCTATGAATTTTGTCTCTATGATATTTACAGAAATAATGATTATATCATACCTTTGTTATAATTCTGGCCACTCCACCGTAGCACGCACTCTTGTTTAGGTCTTTCTCTGTGCAACTCCCACCTCTCTTGTTGCTTTGAAGAAAATGAGAATGAATATCATTGGTGTGCAGCACTGTTATATTAAATCCTTTATCAGATTTGGACAGTGCGGCGCCCCATAAAGCAAGGAAAACTGCGAAGCAGAACCCCATAATTCTACCACACCAAGAGCTCATGCGTCGACACCTCTTCAAGAGGATAGCTGCGCAAATAGTGTTTCCATAAATATTTCCGCGAACACGTCAGTATTGTGACAGAAGCCGAGTTTCGTATTGTTTATTTCAATAACAACTCTGACACGTAAGCATGACAAAAAGAAATACAATGAACAACAATGGCCAAAGGCAGTGAAAACCGACCGACATCTTTTCCTTGACCTTTAGACAGGAGAGAGGACGGCTCTTTTCCTTCACACAGTACTAACGTTTCAGATTTCATCGAAGGCATGCGTCTACCAGAGATAACGATATCTCTGGTAGACGCTTACCACTTATCCTTTAAAATGGGTCTATGATATCTGGTGACGTTATATTTATGTTTTCTTTATTCTCATTAGTGCTCGTGGTACCTTTGGGGATCTTGAGAGCAATAATACATAAAACGCAGCATTACACAAGTTGTGGAACTTTAGTACTTATTTCCCCAAAACCTACCTTTCAATGGTTCTTATTGGAAACCAATACCGAGTTTCAGTAGGTTTGAAAACATAGTTTTTTTGTAGCTTTTTCTGCATACATAGTTTTTTATTACAGTTAATGTGCAGCGCAGTTCACAAAACGCTTAACCACTTTTGGTAGCCGCGTTCCGCCATTTTGAGGAACAGCGTCTCCCAGTTTCCCTGTCAGATTGCATGCGGAGAATAGCTATTGGCGTCGTTTGGGGGTTGGTGAAACTCATAAGCACGGCGAGTGGCTCCATCGATGAAAGAAGTCAGTAAGTACGAGCAAGGACATATATTCAACGCCAAACACATGCTTACGTTTCTTTTTTTTTTCTTTTTTTTTTCCGATGTCGCCCCGACATTTACCAGAGCCATTTGAACCACCGACGGTTCGACGTCTCCATCGCCGGCTCGCGAAATAAAGACAGGCAGGTATGTCTAAAATTTAGTACACGCAGATACGCTTGTTGTATTCCCTGGCTGGTGCGGTCAATAACGACGAGAAGGATCTCGTGCGATTTGTAGAACACACCCTCCGCGTAGAGTAAGAGAGAGCGAAATTTCATCAACGTGGCGCGCTCAAAATTAGAGCCGAGATAACGTCACTTAGATCGCCCTATGGCTTGCGAAAAGGGCGAATTTCATGCTTTCTCCAGATATCAAGAATATAACATAATTTCAGATAATTTACTAGAATTATAATAAATCTAATTAAGAAAGATAATTGCATATAGTACAAAAATCTGATTCTAGAGCTGGGCTGGGCTGTCTTTTAAGAATAGATATATCTTGGTGCTTACGTGTTAGAGTTTGTATCTAAACCGGTTCAAATAGGGCACAAAAAGACGATAGGTAGAAAGAACACACACACAGCTTTATAATAGTTATTTTAGCGCTTAGTGTGTTCAAAGTTTTTCGGTGTTGTACTTCGTGGGCACTATGCTCACCTTTTAGATTAACCAACTAGTTCAAGTTTGACTGAACCGGCATTTTTAATATCAAATTAACTTACATTTGTCGATATTTCAACACCCAAAATCTACAAATTTCATTTCCAGTATGACAATCATCGCGCTATATTTGGAAGTACTTTCCAACGTCTATATTGCGCTCTATCGACGGATGAAAACCGTTCCTTTTGCCTGCTTTTGGGAACAGAAACCAGAGGTGGCGAATCCATAATAAAAGCTCTCCTGACCTTTTCAATGTTCCTATCAACTTTAAGCCGTGGTACTGGAACTTATAACCTCGTTTGTGAACACAAAGCAGGTATGGTCAAACATATTGAGCACAAGTAGAATGGTGAATGTTAAGTGGTTAGTGAATAAGACAGAACAAAACTTAGACGGTCCCCAAGGGAAGCCAAACCCAGGATCTCGAAGATTTCTTATATATTTAGTTATTTAGTGTGCCTACCAACCAGTGTTGCCAACCTCTGTGGCTGTGTCTTCCCCGAATTTTATTAGAAAGTTCCCTTGATTTCCCTAGATCTTCAGAAAATGAGTTAATTTGCGTCAATAATGAGATTATCGTTATGGTGTAGCTCAAGAATAGATTCCTGTAGTTGGGTGGCCATTTAAAGGTTAAATTTGCTTCGTTAGAACATTTTTTCATACTTCACTTTTGTTACATTGGCCTTTTGTAGCCCCCTGAAATAGCCATTATTACCACTGGAGATTATCTCTGGCCGCGACAGTATACATAGAAACCTCATAGTCGCTGGACTCGGCCGGCACGAGGAGGAAAAAGGGAAGGAACGTGTCTCTAAAACCCCCTGAAACCCATTAAAACAATCCCTAGATTTGAACAAATTTCCCTTTGCCCCTAAACAATGACGAAAATACCTACATCTAGGGAAAAATCCCCAAGGTTGGCAGCACTGCTATTAACAGTCATAGATTTATTACCGTAGTTCCGGAAAAATATCCATAACACAACGCTGCAAAAACGCACTATAACAAGAATGGAATGCTCCTCCTGAACGACAACAAGTCATCATTAGAAAATCCCAACAATTGATGTGCCAAATTGATTAAAGATGTTCTGGATGCGAACTAGCGGGGACAGACAATACCTGGGGTTAATGGCGAATGTCGATTGCAGCAGAAAGGTCGCACAGGAACGTTAACCTGAATGTGAGTTAGGATAATTAAGCAGTCATAATATGCATGAAAGCACTTAAACAAAAATATGAGGTCACCACTTTCTCGTCTAGATTTTAACTCGGTTAAACCCCAAAATGAAGAAGATTCTGATAAGAGTAAGGCTGAGACAAATTTTGTCTAGCGTGAAACGTTCTCCCGAATCTCTGTTGGACTCGTTCTAAAGTCGCCGCTGCAGTGTCACTGAGGTTGTTTCAATCTACTGATGCAAAATCTAGTTGGGACAAAATGACTCTCTGAACAAGACATAAAAACAAAATGGGTCGCGAAACACAGAACTGAAGCGAGTGGCAATACCCAACACTCTAAAATATTATAACAGGATCATACAAACATGACGACTGAAGTTCAGTTTCTTATCAAGCATTACACCTAGGTCACGCACAACAGACACACGCATTTTAATAGCTATATCGAGATAGCAATCTAAGAAAACGAAAAGAGTTCTGCGTGAAAACTTTATCACCTGTGATGGTCTAGGATAGAGGTCAAGATCGTTGTCTACAGAGCACTGAATGATGGCGTCGATTTGTAACAAGGTGTAGTCATGTAAGCATTCCACTCTGCGATAGAACTTCATATCGTCGGCAAACTGACAAATTAGAGTGCTATAGCATATCCTGAATGCCGTTCACAAAAATATTAACGAGCAAGGGACAGTGGTTAGATCCTTGTGAACTCCTGAAGGAACCGAGAAAAAAAGTGACTTTGCACATCTCTGAGAAAAGTAGTTCAACCTATCCTGTAGGTAGCTAGAGACCCATGAACAATAACCAGTAATTAAGCTGTAGAATGATTATCGACGCAGTACAATTTTATGACTAACTTGAACGAAGGTCTTACTGCGATCGGAATATCATGTCAGTTTGTTTGCGACAGATACCGCTTGGTGCCACGTCGCTCAGAAAAAGCTACAAGGTTTGTGGCGGCCGAACCGGAACTCATAAAGCCGTGCTGATTCCCGTCTGCGACTCGCTTGAAGATATTAGATGTTTGTAAACAGCTTTTTAGACAACTTTAGAAAACGCAGGTTAGAAGGAGATAGGCCTGCAGTTTGACAGAGAGGTAAGTTCGTGGATGTGCTCTTTTGGTGAAGATCTCCATCGAACTTGCGATGCGAGTACAATCTGTATTAAACTCACTATATGCTTTTTGTCCAGTTCTTTCGCGCTTTGGTGTCTTGCGGAAATCTGAAGGAAGTTCAAGAACCTTTCTCCACGCGATGGTTACAACCAGGTTCAAAGCACCCTCCCATAGCGCGAGACCACAAACAAAATTCGGGATCTCAATCTCTCAACCGATCGCCTGAAGTGCTTTTCTCACGGGCCCAATGCATCTTTTAGCAGACGATCATCTCGATCGACGTCTGGGCTTTCTATAAACCATATTTTGCATCGCACCCCACTATGAATTCTTATAGGTGTCTGAAACTCATTGTATTTCAAACAAATGCAATATGACAAAATCTTCTTTATTCACATTATTCAGACCCCGGCGCCGGCTTGGCCGGCGGGCGTGTTTCAGACGGCATACTTCTTACATTCGTCGTCTGCTGCAGGTATATTGAGGACCGGAAGTCGCAGTCGTAAATATTTCAGAAACAAGCGATTACCGGCACACTTGTGTCGAAACATATATGACATTCAAGCTTTCTATATCTGTGATTTTTGGAAGTATAAATCCTAATCCTGATTTTTGAACGGTTTGGGTTTCGTAGCGAAACCTAGCCACATGTATTTGTCCATAACAACGACCCTAGCAACGGTTTGTTTGGGCCCATGACGTCACACTTACGGAGTCAATGGCGCCGCACGACGGACCAACGTTGCGACCAACGTTACTCAAACACTCAGTTGGGAAACTCGCCGTCGAAACCTGGGCCGCTGGCGTCCACCGAGACCGAGCTAAATGCGACAACAGCGCCACTCTTTATCGTTTGTCTGTACTGTGGTCGCCTTGAGCTTTTTGAAAGCCTGTTTTTGCGTAAAAACAAACGGAAAGGACTCTTTTTGTATGAAATTTATTGGAGATTAGTACAAAAAGAGGGGCGCGTTATGTTTTTAAAATCTTTAGTTTGCGGGGTTTTGCGGCACAATTAACATTGTTTTTATACAACCATGCCTCAGCGGTCCTTTCAGGTAGCGCGTCCTGACCTAGGTGCATTTTAACTTGGGTATCGATGCGGCGCGTCCGCCGGGGAGACGGGGGTGGCACCCCTGTATCCTCTTCCGCTGTATCTGTTCTTAAAGCCAAAATAGCGGTAACGTGCAGTTCTTCGAATGGCCGCTGCTGGAGAAATGGTGGCGGTGTGTTCGTCATTAGCTCGGTG